TTACTTTTATTATTAAAATACGAGACAAATGTTAATAATTTTTTTCAATGAAAAACATGATTTTAATAACTCAACTTTAGTAAAATAAAACTAAAAATAAGAACCTAATTTTTTTTGAAAATTTATTAACTATTAAAAAATTAAAAAAAATTATATTTGAAGAATGTGCAGTTAAACTATGGGAATTTCCGAGAAGAAAATTTTTTTCTTTTTTTTACCAGCACTTCTAAGTTTCATCACAAAAACTTTCAAAATATTAAAAATAAGAATTTATTAAGAATTATATATTAGAATTATTTATTAAGAATCTATTTTATCTTCAAAAATATTTTTCCCTGTTTAAGTTCACTTAAAAAACCTTTTTTCGGCAACAATACAATCGGCAACGAACGAAATACTTTCGAAAATTCTAATTCTCGCTTCTCATCAGACAAAAATAAAACGGAAAATAATAAAAAAATGGAAGTTGGAATATTTATATCAAGTGTGCTTTCGATCCGACACATTTTAAAAAAATTTATTTTCTGTTTTTTTAAAAAACGAGAATTTCTTGAAGTGTTTGAAAACTATTTCTAAGTATCGATATAAAGGAGTTATTTTCAGATTAAAAGATTAAAAGAAAAAATGAATGGAAAAGAGTTTGAAGTATGATTTTCTTTGAAAGAGAAGGATTTTTAAAGAAATAATTCAATGAAAATTAATATTTTTAATTCTAGGGATAGAAGGGATTTTATTGAAAATGTAATAAGATTTTATGCTGTTAATAATTAGCAATACAATATATAGAGCGTTATATCAGTATTAGTCATTATATTATAGATAAGATATAATATTTCTGTATTCCCGCAAAAGGAAAAGACTTATCAAATTAAATCGAAATTGACTGTAATCAGTCATTTTTTATATTATCATATTGAAATTAATATTAATCCTAATTAGAATATTTATTAGAATTAGAATATTAATTAGAATTAATCCTAATTAGAATTAGAATATTAATTAGAATTAATCCTAATTAGAATTAGAATATTAATCAGAATTCTAATTAGAATATTAATTAGAATTAATCCTAATTAGAATTAGAATATTAATCAGAATTCTAATTAGAATATTAATCAGAATCAACGGTTTCTGAATTAGTAGTTAATAAGATTCAGTGCTGCTTTGTATAAAATAGTTGTTTACCTTGTTTATACACAGAAAGAAAAAAAGAAAACGTAAGAAAATAATTTTGAAGAAATAAATATTAAGAAAACATTCTGAATAAGAAGTTTTGTTAATATATCATATTCAAAATATATCGATAGTATAATTCTAAATGCCATATTAATAATATCACATTGAAGGAAATATATCTAACAATCAGCACTACAGCTGTATTAATTTCCATTTCAGTAGTTTCCTTTGCTAAAATATAGCTTCATCCATTTAGTTGGTTAACATTAAAAATAAAAACTTTTTACTCTATAAAGTCTTTTCTACCATTTTGAGTGAGCTCATTTCAAATTGATAAAAAAATTTTTATCATAGAATAAACTAATAACTTTTGCAACAATGCAAAAATGCATGACATTTGCAGACAACTTTTATTTACACTTATCCAATTATCAGCAATGCATATACAGTTCCATATTGTTAATAAATTTATACCAGGACGTCTATTATTATCCATAAATCAGTAACGAATATCATCTGTCTACCATTATCTTCAATTAGCAGCCAAAAGGGCAAAATTGTAATTCTTGCCAATTAGTGCTGATCTAATTGAAACAAAATCATCATGGAATAGATATCATAAACTGGAACTTGTTATTTTAATGAGAGTAGATGAAATGAGTATGTTTTCGATCGAAAAACTAATACTAAATTGCATCTGATAATCACGTAAAAATAATATATCGATAGCATAATTATAAATATTATATTTTTATTACTATATTAAACATCGTATTTATAATATGTAGTTACTATATTACGGAATATAATACTGATAATGCCATATTGAACATCGTATTCACAATATATTGATAGTATAGTTCTTAATATGATATTCATAATGCCATATTGAACATCATATTCATAATGCTATATTGAACGGGATATTCATAATATATTCGAAAGTATAATACTTCATATCATATTCATAATGCTATATTGAACGGGATATTCACATTATATCGATAGTAAAATAAATATCCTATTCATTATATATCATTAAAAAAAACGTATATAATAATGAGCTCTATAACTGTATTAATTTCCATTTCAGTAATATATTTTGCTAAAATATAATTTCTTTCATTTAGTTGGTTAACAATAAAAATAAAAACTTTTTTACTATAAAATGTTTTCAACCGTTTTCGTCATCTCATCTCAAATAGATATAAAAAAACATTTTTATCATAGCATAAACTAATAACTTTTGCAACAATGCAAAAATGCATGACATTTGGCAGACAGCTTTTATTTACACTTATCCAATTATCTGCAATGCATATACAGTTCCATATTGTTAATAAATTTATAGCAGGACGTCTATTATTATCCATAAATCAATAATGAATATCATCTGTCTACCATTAACTTTAATTAGCAGCCAAAAGGGCAAAACTGTAATTCTTGCCTAGCGTAGCGTAATGAAATTAATGCGCCAGGCCAGGCTAATTCACCCGCTTTGTACCGTGGAGCAGCGACATATGTCAGATGCATAAATCAATTGTGTCAACGGTTACGAAGTCAATTTTGCCAATTAGTGCTGATCTAATTGAAACAAAATCATCGTGGAATAGATATATTATAACTGGAATTTGTTAATATAACTAGAGTTGATGAATCGTGTATATTTTGTTCGAGTCAAACTGTCATCTAATAGTCACGTAAAAATGAATTATTTTAATGGAATTTTCCTTCAATAACAAAGTTGTTTTTTATAGAACTTTATGCTAACAAAGGATAGCGGCTCCACAGTGACATACATTTTAGTGTATTTGTAAATGATTAACACTGCCATTCATTACTCTGATAAATAATTCGTAAACTAATTTGCTCTCTTTGTCCAAATAGGTAGACATTGCCCATGCTAGTGTATTTTTTATTTACTTTAAATATTGGACTCAAGCCTCATATTTAATTTGAAATATTTTGGTGCCTTACTTTTTAGGTCAATTTTTTTTATATAAATAATCCATTGTTTGTCGCAATGTGGTCACCATTGGTCCATGGGGCACAATACATAAGCAGCCATTTTTTTTGTCGATTTTGGCAACGATCGTAACTTCAAATTTATCTTTATTTACCTATCCCCGATTAGATATCACTCATTTTTAATTCATTTTTTTATCTAATATACATATATAATTTGAATTTTTTTAATAACATTTGATTTAATATCATAATCACAATGCCACATTAAACATCTTATTTATAATATATTGAGTATAATTCTGAATATCATATTCATAATGCTATATAAAACATCGTGTCCATAATATATCGATAACATAATATTAAATAACATATTCGTAATGCTATAGGGAATATCGTATTCCTTAGATGTTGATAGTATAATTCTGAATATCATATTCATAATGTCATATTGAGCATCTTATTCATTATATGTCGATAGCATAATACTGAATAACATATTCATAATACCATATTGAATATCATATCCGAAATATATCAATAGCATAATTCTGAATATAATATTCATAATGTCATATTGATCATTGTATTCAAAATTTATAAATAGTATAATATTGAATGTCATATTCTTAATATCACATTTATAATAGCTTTTATAATAGCAGTAATTATTATATATAGCACTATATAATAATTGTGTCTTAATTTCCACTTCAGTAGTTTCCTTTCCTAAAATATAATTTCTCTCATTTAATTTGTCAACAATAAAAAAAAAACATTTTATTTAAACTATGTTCAACCATTTTATTCAGTTCATCTCAAATAAATGAAAAAAAAAATCATTTCTATCATAGCATAAACTAACTCCTTTTGGCAGGCAGCTCTTATTTACCCTTATCCAATTACCAGCAACGCATATGCAGTTCCATATTGTTAATAAATTTATACCAGGACGTCTATTATTAACCATAAATCAATAACGGATATCATCTGTCTACCATTATCTTTAATCAGCAGCCAAAAGGGCAAAACTGTAATTCTTGCTTAACGTAGCGTAATGAAATTAATGTGCCAGACCAGGCCTAATATTCCCGCTATTGCTATATTGTAGTGTGAAGCAGCGACATATATCAGAATTGTAAATCAATTGCGTCAAGTGTTCCGAAGCCAATTTTGCCAATTAGTACTGATCTAATTGAAACAAAATCCCAGTGGAATAGATATCATAACTGGAATGTGTTATTATAACATGAGTTGATGAAACGAGTACTTTTGAAGCAAAATTAAGTCAAAATTGCATCTATTAGTCAAGTAAGAATAATACACCTATAGTATAATTCTAAATATTTTATTTTTATTACCGTATTAAACATCGTATTCATAATATATTGAGAGTATACATAATTCTTAATATTATATTCATAATGCAATATTAAACATCGTATTCATAATATATTGATAGTATAATACTGAATATTGTATTCATAATATATCGATACTATAATACTGAATATCATATTCATAATATATTAATAAAATGATACTGGTTCTCAAATTCATAACGCTATATTGAACATTATATTCTTAATATATCGATTGTATAATACAGAATATCATATTCCTAATATTGTATTTTAAGTAGTGTATATAATAACGAGCGCTATGTAATGATAGCTGTGTTAATTTCCATTTCAGTAGTTCCTTTGCTGAAATATCATTTTTTCATTTAGTTGGTTAACAATAAAAAAACATTTTATTTAAATTATTTTCAGCCATTTTAGCCAGTTCATCTCAAGTAGATGAAAAAAACCCAATTTTTATTATAGCATAAATTAATAACTTTTGCAACAATGGCCAACGGCCGTACCATGCTGAATATGCCGGTTCTCGTTAGATCACCGAAGTCAAGCATCATTGGGCGCGGTCAGTACTTGGGTGGGTGACCACCTGGGAACACCGCGTGCCGTTGGCAAATTTGGGACCTGAATGGCCGAGTGTCTAGCGCTCTGGCGCTCGGTGCCACAGGTTTCGGGTTCGAATCCCGGCGGTGCCATGGATGTTTGTAGTGGTTCGGAATCCACTTTAAGCCGTAGGTCCCGGTCTTCTATGACTGTAAGAGCGTCACGGAGCAAAAGTCAGGCTTCTACCTACGGGTGCTCCATCGCAACAGGAGCTGCTTCCTTCCCCTTCAACCATGAGTACGTATGGACTCGTGGGCTTGGCCAGCCAAGTGGGATAAGAAACAACAACATCTTTTGCAACAATGCAAAAATGTATGACATTTGGCAAGCAGCTTTTATTTACCTTCATCCAATTATCAGCAATGCATATGCAGTTCCATATTGTTAATAAATTTATACCGGGATGTCTATTATTATCCATAAATCAATAACGGATATTATATGTCTACCATTATCTTGAATCAGCAGCCGAAAGGGCAAAACTGTAATTCTTGCTTTCCGTAGCGTTATTATATTAATGTGCAAAGCTAAGCTAATATATCCTCTTTGTAGTGACATATGTCAGATGCATAAATCAATTGTGTCAACGGTTCTGAAGCCAATTTTGTCAATTAGTCCTGATCTAATTGAAACAAAATCATCGTGGAATAGATATCATAACTGCAATTTGTTATTTTAACGAGAACTGATGAATCGAGTTTATTTTGATCGAAATATTAAGCTAAAATTGCATCTAATAGTCACGTAAAAATAAATTAGTGTAATGGAATTTTCCGGCAATAAAATAGTTGTGCTTTATAGAATCTTTACGTTAACAAAGGGTAACGGGCTCCACAGTGACATACATTCCAGGGTTTTATAAGTTATTAATAATGCCAACCATTATTCTAATAAAATATTTCGTAAATTTACATTTGCACTTTTTGTACAAACAGGCAGGCATTGCCCAAGCTATTGTTTTTTATTATTTATTTCCCGACCACAAGCTCATATTTAATTTGAAATATTTTCGTGCTTTACTTTTCGGGTAAATTTTTTTATTTAAATAATTCTTTGTTTGTCAGAATAACGTCGACATTGGTCCTCGTGCCATGAGACAGAATCAATCAATCTCTTCTCAATCAATCTGTCCAACATGGCAGCCATCATAATTTCTAATGTTTTTTTTCATTATTTATGTATCCTCAATTAAATTTTATTCATTTTAATTCAACTGTTTTACCTCGTCTATCTACTATATATCTATAATTTGACCTTTTTTAATATCTTTTTTTTTAACTTTTTGATATAATCACAAACGTTGCGAATATATATATTTTTATTTTTAATGATTACGTATCGTAAATAATATTGCGTAATTAAATAAATTATTAATTATGTGTCCAATTCAGATTGTGTTGTAATTTATACTATGCGTAAGTCATGGCTAGGATACGTTGCTCTAATGCAGCTGGCAGTGCAGAGACAGTTAATTTTTTTGCCCTAAGCAAGGACTGCATCGCTGTTACTCATTTAAAACTAAACAGGTTGCAATTATAGTTTGAAGATATGCTACGCACGCGAGTAACACTAACCCCACAACTCTCTACGATCTTATGAGACCAGGGCATGTGGTTTAAAGGGGATTCCGAACCACTACAATCACCCATGGCACCGCCGGGACTGGTACCCGAAACCTGTAGTACCAAGCGCCACAGCGCTAGCCACTCGGCCATCAGGCTCAATGACTAGGATATTAATTCACCAAAACAGAAGATTATTTCTCAATAGCCTCCCCGGAAATTTTAGAAGGAAATTTTAAAATGCCCTTAATGATTGAAGATTCTCCCCCCAAAAGATGGAGAGGTTAGAGGCTTAGTTCACCAATTTGTTAAACCAAGCTTCTAACCACACCACCACCAACAGAAAGGCAAGAGTTTTTTATCTTTTAATTTTACTTGTTATTCATATTAAATAATCTAACGGAATTAAATAAATTTATAATTTGAAGCAAATTGAAGGAAAATCATCGTGGAATAGATATCATAACTGGAAATTGTTATTCTAATGCGAGTTGATGAATCGAGTATAGTTTGCATCAAATAGTCAAAATGGCATCTAATAGTCATGAAAAAATGAATTAGTTTAATGGAATTTTCCAGCAATAATATAGTTGCGTTTTATAGAACTTTTATGTAAACAAAAGATAGCGGTCTCCATCGTGACATACATTTCAGGGTTTTTATAAATTAATAACAATGCCATCTATTACATGATAAATAATTCGTAAATTACTTTTGCGGTTTTTGTCCAAACAGGCAGACATTTCCCATGCTAATGTTTTTCAATTATTTATTCCAAATATTGTTCTCGGGCCTTATATTTAGCTTGAAATATTTTCGTGCCTTACTTTTTGGGTCAATGTATTTTACATAAATAATTAATTGTTTGTCACAATATGGTCAACATTGGTACTTGTGCAATAAGACATAATCAACCAATCTCTTTCTCCAACTTGACAGCTATCGTAACCTGGAATATTTTATCGTTATTTCTTTATCCTCAATTAGATTTCACTTATTTTTAATTTAATTTCTTCATTTTTTTTTACCTATTATACATTCTATATATAAACTTCTTTTAATAGCTTTTTTTTTTTAACTTTTTCATATTCTCACAAGGGGCCTGATGGCCGAGTGGCTAGCTCTCCGGCGCTCGGTACCACTGGTTTCGGGTTCGAGTCCCGGTGGTGCCATGGATGTTTGTAGTGGTTCGGAATACATTTTAAACCGTAGGTCACGGTCCTAACAGGATCGTAGAGCGTTGCGGGGGCATTGTGACTCCGCTTCCGTGGCTTATCTTCAAGTGACACGCGCCCCCTGGGTAATGCAAAGTGAGTAACGTCTGTGCAGTTCTTGCCTTAAGGCATCAAAGACAATTGTCTAAGTGGTTGCCAGCTGCATTAGAACGAAAAAAAATATATTCTCACAAACGCTGGGAATCTTTATACATTTTTTTTTTATTAGAGAGTTTTTGCATAACGTTTTTTTATCGTCCGATATTTTCTTCCTAACGCGCATGCTCGTAGGAAATATTGTGCCTATTGCGCATGCATATCTGTAGTACTTCACTACTGAGCTATTCCTATGAGCATGCGCGCTTGGAAGAAAAAAATATGGGACTTTAAAAAAACCTTATGCAAAAACTCTCTAATTTTATTCTTTACGTACCGTAAATAATGTTGCGGAATTAAATACTAAAAAACTGTAATTTTAATTACTAAAGGAACTGTCCATTTCAGATTTGGTAGTAGTTTATGCGTAAGTAGTTAGATGTGTAAGTCATGGCCAGGATATTAATTCACCAAAACAGAAGGACACATTTCGTAATAATTTTCCCAATAAAATTTAGAAGGAAATTTTAAAATGCCCTTAATGATTGAAGATTCTCCCCATGGAGATGCTAGAGGCATGGTTTAACAATTTTTAAACCGTGCCTCTATGTAACCTCATGCACAGGCACTGACCAATATTGATGATTGCTAGTGGATTGGGAATAATGGGTCTATTATTGAAAAGATCATTATCCTATGGCATGATTGTTTTAAAGTTTACCGTGCACATATTTCCTTTAGAAAACTTTCTGTCATAGACGCAGCTTTTTAACATGTTGAAAACTGCGCTTAGAGTTCATTAAAACTATGTAAACTAAAATGATGGAATTCGACATTGTAGATGGAAGATGTTTGGTCATATTTTTTAATATCGTGTCTGTGCTGATTAGTACTTATATTTAAAGTGTTGTTGATTTATCCTACTACTGTGTCCAAAAAAACAAGACCAATTTTTAATTTAACATTCCCGGGGCTTATGGAATTTAAATTCTTTCTTTTTTAGCTTGCGGGCACTGTCCTTGGTATTTGTGTGAAATTTCACGTCAAAATGTTCATTAGTGTTTAGCTTTGTGAGACGCTAAAACTGATTCCGGCGATTTTGAAATGTCTGAATTCATTCAGCAAAAGAACTTGAATTAAATTTTGTTTGCGGAAACGTATAGAACGTTGCAGAAAGCAGTCGGGGAGCATTCCTGTATCGGAAAGAAATGTTTAGAAGTGGTATAAACAGTTCAAAGAAGGCAGAGAACGCGTTGAAGACGAAGAGCCCTCTGGTCGACCATCTGCCTCAACCGACGAAGCTAACGTCCAAATATTTAAGGCTTTGGTGCTTGAAACCGTCGATTTACAATTAGAGACCTTGATGATGATGTTGGAAAGTCAAAATGATCAGTCAATTACATTTTGTGCCTCACACGCGTCAAATCTCGATTGGTATCTAAAACACTGAATGCGCCAGCTCACACTACATTAATTCGCCGTGACGTGTTCGTCAAAAATGCAAACCATATCATTCCACAACCACCGTATTCCCACCGTGCGACTTCTGGCTTTCTCTAAATTCAAAAGATCACTTCGAGGACACTGTTTTGAGTCGATAGAAGCGATTCAACGTTGTATGCATTGAAGATTGGAAAAAAAATTGGCATACATGCAATGTGTCCGGAGGGGATTATTTTGAAGGCGATGAAATAAATTTAGAAGAATAAATAAAGAGTTTTTGAAAAAAAATTATTGGTTGTACTTTTTGGGCCCAGTTAGACATACTTCATATTGCAATGAGCTTATTACAGGAGATAAATGGTGTTGTTGACCATACAAGCAGAGGAAATTTCTTTAAAATTTTTTCAATAAATTAATTTAACAATAGTATTAATGGTGATAGAGGAACTGAAAAATGACAATCGACCAGGTGAAACTGAACAACACTTTGAATAGTACAGGTTCAACCGTGGTGTGGTGATTGGTTTGTCGATCTCTAAATCTATGTGTACACTCCAGGCTATTTAGACCGGGACGTACTGTTTAATGTGGATTCCGAACCACTCACAAATATCCATACCACCGCCAAGATTCGAACCTGAAACATGTGATACCAAAGGTCAGAGCTCTAGCCATTTGGCCATCAGACCGCC